GAGTAAATACTGGAGTACTATTTTGGAGTCTAAGGAAGCATAAACACAGGAAAGGGGATCGATCATCCAGAATTGGAGCAGTCTTTGAGGCAGGCTGAGGGAGTAGCCTTCAGGGGGTTTCAACACTGTAGAAAATTAAAATATGGAAGATACACTGATTTAATTAGAAAGGAAATTAGGAAAACAAAAAGGATAGGGAAGAGTATTAGGTCTTGTCCAGAAAACTCAAAGGTTTTGTAAATATAAAGAGCAAATGGATAACTAAGGAAAGTAAAATCTGTTCAGGACCAAAATATATAAAGTGTCAAGGTGGAATAGTTGGGTGAGATTCTTGTGTACAAACGTAAATTAGCAATAGGCTATCAGTCCCTCAAGCCTGTTCTGCTGATTGATAAGATTCTAGTTGATCTGGTTGTGGTCTCAACTCTCTTCCTGCTTATCCAAATACTGTTTGAACTTCGTTACTCCAGAATCTCTCTCTCTCTCTCTCTCTCTCTCTCTCTCTGACCTAAGGTATTGAATCACCCTCATCCAAGGCTGCCCGGAGAAGAGAGTCCACAGACTCCAACTCAAACAAATGTTCTCCTTGTCTGTCTTAAATGGAAGACCTTATGTATTTAAATTGCGTCCCCATTTCTAGTCTCTCCAACAAAGGGAATTATCCTTTGACACTTATCGCCTTTGGTCAGAACATTGAGTACAGGCGTTGGGACGTCATGTTGTGGCTGTACAGGACATTGGTGAGGCCACTTTTAGAATACTGCACACTTAAACTTGAGAGGGTGCAGAAAAGATTTACAAGGTTATAAGGAGAGGCTGAACAGACTGGGGCATTTTTCCGTGGAGTTTTGGAGGCTGAGGAATGACCATATATAGGTTTGTAAAATCATGAATGGCATGGATAGGGTGAATAGTCAAGGTCTTTTATGTGTAGTGTAGGGGAGTCCAAAACTAGAGGGCACAGGTTTAAGGTGAGAGGGAAAGGATTTAAAAAGGTCTTGAGGGGTAATTTTTTTCACGCAGAGGGTGATGCATGTATGGAATGAACTGCCAGAGGAAGTGGTGGAGACAGGTACAATTCCAACATTTTAAAGGCCTCTGGATGGGTATGTGAATTGAAAGGGTTTTAGAGGGATTCGGGACAGATGCTGGTAAATGGGACTAGGTCAGATCGGAAGAATCTCAAATAGATCATCTCTTCTTCTAAACTCCAATGGATACACAACTTGTCCAACATTTCTTCTGAGATAACACTAATTCCATGAGCTTGTGAAGCTTCTCTGAACTGCTCCTAATCCAACTATGTGCTCCTTTAAATAAGGAGCCCAGTATGGTCTTCCCTATGCCCTGTACAACTGTAGCAAAACGTCCCCTTTTGATTTTCATTCTCCTTGTAATAAACGAATAAAAAAATTTGCCTAATGAATATCTTGTCAGTCTGCACTAAAGAGGAGAAATTGCTAAGGAGAGGTGAAATATTGGTTGGGATAAATATGCGTGTTTTAAGAGGTTTAACATTTTTGAAGGTGTATGAATCTTTCGGCCCTGGTGAATGAAGTCTGGGCTGTGAAGAGAAACAAAAAAAAGCAGAGCCTCTGATCATTTATCCAGTCCTAAGGCCAAAGTGCTAGAAAATTGGAGGACTGCTCAGCTGTACAGACTGTCTAAAAATGATGGGAGAAGAAATGAACTGAATATTTACAGGCCTGTCATTTGTTGGAGAAAATGCTGTGGGATGGCCAATAATTCTTCTGACTGAGCAGAGATGAACACTGACTGATGGACTGATTGGCCTCTTTCTGTGCCACTTGTTTTCTGTTTTGTTTTGATTCTTGGACTTAATATGTTTCTCTGGAAAGTCAAATAGGAAGGAATGATGGGCAGATGGTAAGTTAATTGTTCATGGAATTGGATTAAATTCATTGGTTGGTCATTATAGGTTTTGGTGAAGCTGATGGGTACAATACGTTTTGTATGCAATGATACAAGCAATTGGATCTGTTACCCTTTCTGCGCAGTATCCATGTTGCAAACTTTGTCAACGAATGGACAAGGGAACATCTAGACATCACAGCTGGCAGACTCAAGATTAAGCCCAACTCAAACAGTTGGCCAGGCTCTTCTGAAACTTAGCTTTGGGAAAATAGATTTAACTGGAATGAAATCAAAGTATTTTCAGTGGCGTCAAATAGAAAATAACTTTTCATTTATAGTGTTGGATGATAGTTGCATGTCAACGATTGAATAAATAATCCATCGAAGTGATGTTTGTCTGTATATGTATTGCAACTTGTGCATTTTCATTTCTATACCTGGGTGTTATAGATTTAATATTGTGATTCCTTTAATCTGGTAGCAGTATGTGGGAAACAGGTAAATGTGAAAAGATTTTTTTGAGCAAATAACCTGAGATTATAATGAATATTGTAATTCTGATAAGCATTCAGTTTCAACTGTCTAATTTTCAGTCCTGCATTTACCACAACGTTGTATAGCAGCTGTCTATAAGATATAGGATCAGAATTAGGCCATTAGGCCCATACAGTCTGCTCTGCCATTTGATCATGGCTGTTTCTCAACCCCGTTCTCTTGCTTTCTACCTGTAACCTTTGATCCCCATGCTCATCAAGAAGCTCTATCTCTCTTAAGTACACTCGGTAACGTGGCCTCCATAATCTTTGTGGAAATGAGTTCCATAGATTGACCACCCTGGTTGGTTGAGGAGGTTCTTCCTGTCTTATTTCTAAAGGGTTGTAACTTCACTCGGGCTATGCTGTCAGGTCCTAGTCTCTCCAACTGGTGGAAGCATCTTCTCCACATCCACTGTATCCAGGCCCCCCCAGTATTCTGTAAGTTTCAATGAGACTACCCCTCATTCTTCTAAACTCCATTGAGTACAGATCCAGAGTCCTCAACTATTCCTTATGTGACAAGCCCTTCATTGCCAGAATCATTCTTGTGTCTTCTGGACCCCCTCCAAGGCTTCCTTAGATACAGGTAAAAACAATTCGGTGTTCCAAATCCTGTCTGACAAGAGCTCTCTCAGCCTCAGCAGTGTATCCCTACTCTTGTATACTAGCCCCATTGAAAAGAATACTATTATTGCATTTGCCTTCATAACTGCCAACTGAATCTGTATGTTAACCTTTAGAGAATCCTGATCTAGGACTCCCACTTCCCTTTTGTGCCTCAAACTTCTGAAGCCTTTCCCCATTTAGAAAATAGTCAACACCTGTATTCCGTCTGCCACTTCTTTGCACACTCTCCTGGCATGTCCGTGTCCTTCTCCATACCCACCTCCTCAACACTACCTCTCTTCTCCCCCCCACCACCCCTGCTATCTTCTTTATTTGCTAACTTAGTAACAACGCCGTCATTTCCTTTGTCCAGATCATCAGTGTATAACATGACTAGCTGTGGCCCTAACACTGACCACTGTCAGCATGCTCAAACACCTACTCCCGTCTCTTGATGCCTTAATACCAGAAAACACAGTTTCTTACTTTCCAGTCATTCCCTGTAGTCTGAATACTATCTTTGTTTCTCTGAGAGAACTTTAAACATCTGTGACCAGATCTGGACAATATTAAGAGCAATTGTGCCTTGCTTTCCTCTGCTAAGCCATCGCTAGTCTAAGATTACTTTGAAGATTAGAGATACCAACCTGGTTTATTTTCCTACTGATTTATCTCCTTCTATCCTGGCTTCTCGATCTTCTAATGACTACAAGAAGCTCCTGGAATTATCTCTCACTGGGACAATGTTGTTGTCTATACTGCTTACATGCCCCTACCAACGTTCTCTACCTTCTATTCCCACAAATTGCTTTGCGCACAAAAACAAAAATCACAGTCCCTGCTCAACCATAGCCTTGCACCCCGTGTAATTCTGTTTTCTCCCCTCTTTCCTCCCTCCTTATACAAAACTCGGAATTCTATCTCTTCACATTACTATGCCACCCAACGTCTCTTAACCTGTTGCCCTTAAACATCCTACCACGCTAAAGTCATGCCCATCTTTCCCAGACCCCATGCTTGAATCTGTATTCTGCTTTCTGCCATTATTGCCTGCCTTTACCACAGCACCAAATGGACCTAAGCAAAGTCACAAGCAACTTCCTCCCTGATTTTGTCTGCGGTATTATTTCTTCTCAACTTGACTGCAGGTTTTTGCAGCCATACCGTCCTGGAGAAGCAGTTCCTTAGTGATATTGTTGCTAAACTGTTAATCCAGACACTCATGTAATATTCTGGGGACCCAGGTTCAAATTTCACCGTGGCAGATTGCCGATTGTTGCAGGGAATACCCATCTGGTTCACTAATGTCCTTTTGGGAAGAAAATGGCAGCCTTTTCCTGTTCTAACCTACATGTGACTCTAGACCAATAGCAATGAGGTTGACATGCAGCTGTCCTCTGGGCAATTAGGCAAAGAATGCTGGCCTAGCCAGTGATGCCCACAACCCCATGAATGAATTTAAAGTCCTCTTCAATGTCTTATCTCTATCCAGCAACATGAGATTGTTCTTGCTAGCTTTCACATGCTCCCATATGATTTTAGCCATATTTAGCAACTAATCACACCTTGCTCCTGGACCGCTACCTCTTGACTGTCAGGGATCTAACTTTGGTGCCTTGCTTTTCCTCATTCACGTACAGCCCTTTAATGACAACATCAGAAAACAGTGGAGTCAGAATGCATCTGTGACACTTACATACTTGCAACAATATTTCTACAAATTAATTAAAGTACAAATATTTTACCAATTGAAAACACAAGTTTGACATTGGTTACAAGCCTTTTCATTGGTAATTGATAGCTAATCTTTTGTAAAATGAATGGATGGATTTCTAGGAAAGGGCTGTGGTGGACAGTAGCCTCAGTCCAGGAAGGATATTTGGAAATTAATTGTTTAGTGGACAAAACCTCTCCATATTGCAGTTTGGTTACCTGGCTCCCTTTTGACTTGTCCATCTAATTTTGTTCTTTCTTGCTATATAGCAACGCAGGCAGGACCCCAATCCCGGCTCCAATCTGGGGAGCGGAGATGAGCTGAAACTACGTTAAACGTGCTCGGAGCAGCCTTGCCATGGGTCATTGTGTGGGGATCAAGCAGCTTTTCAGTGAGACCGAATTCTTTAAAGAAGTGAAGATGCTTTGGCCCGGATCAAGAACTTTGTCCTGTTCCCCACGGCCCAGGACTTTGGATGCTCCAGTCGGCACAAACTGCCAGGGATTGCACTATGTCCACGTTACAGTACCTGCATTTCCTGTTGTATGCATGTAGCTGGTAGCAATCTGTGTGTGACTGTTTTCTATGCAAGCTGTATTTTTTTATTCTGTTTTTGGTGATATTTTTACTTGTCCCTTTTTATGTATTGTTTAATTTGTTTCCATTTCTCACCTGGTTTAACCAAAAATGCAGCAAAGAAGTATCTCAAAATTAGGTCATAAAATATTGCAGTTAAATTAATTTTTTTTTAAATGTGGCAGGAAACCCAGAGATTCTATTTTCTGCTTTTTATAATAAATTCTGGGCTGATGGACGTTAAGGGCCTTAATTCTGTTCGCTTTTGCTTTTCTTGAGCACCGAGGAAATGCATTGTTTGCTTACTAGCAATTTTTAGTTCTGATTTTTGTATCCTGTAAAGAGATAGCCACATAAGGAAGCTTATTATCAGAGCAAAACTTAAACATGTAAAATAAAAGCAAATTAAGGACAAATGGTCAACACAAATTTGGGGAACAGAAGACTGTCCAACATGAACATTCAGTTTGACTTATTTCTTTCATTTTCCAAATTAAATTTGATATGAAACAATAATGCCCACATAAAATTGATTTCAACCTCTTCATCATAAAAAAACTGATGCGTAGTTTCTTTAAATCCAACATAATTGTTATTTTAGGCCACGTCAGGAACCCTTGAGTTCTGCTACTAAGTAAAATATATATTATCCTGAAAATAGGGTGCAGTTTGGGCTGACAGAATGTGCACTGCTTACAGTTAAATTACATCATGTGCTGGACATATGAAAAGTGACCAAATGAATTCTGACAGACCCTGACGAATGTACAGTATGTTCGGAATGGATGCTAGTGGCCTTGGTGGCTATTTCTTGCTCTGCAATGCATAAAAAAATCTTAATGCTGGCGTTAAGATTGGGGATGTCTGCTTTCTGCTATTTAGTGCAAATAATTCAAAACTTTTAAGTTACTGGTTTTAAGTTATTGATGCGATTTAATACGGTTTTTCCGATCACTATTTAAGTAGAACCAATTGCATCGTTTTTTTACGTAGTACATCTCCCTCAGGAGTTGCTTTGATTTATCAGAATAGCTTTTGCTACCTTTTGAATCTAAAGCATTTTCTTTTAAATTACTTTCATAATAAACTTCTGTAAAGTCAAACCTGTTCTGTCCTTTTTTTCAAAATTATATTTCCAAGTTTGGCTGACTGGAGGTGTTTTCAACCAACAGAGAAACTGCTCCTGAGTTCTGAATTATGGAAGGCCTGGAGATACATAGGAAAAAAGATTTGACATTAGACTGATATTAACTTCATAAATTCTTTTGGCACCTGTGAATGTTTATTATTAAATGGGATTCATGGAGAAACTCTGAAATCCTGCAGCAATTAAATCAAAATTGTAATGTCGAATTTCAGTTTGGCTATGACATGTCTTAAATTATAGCATTGGAGAAATGAACCTTGAGGGAAGTAATGGAAAGATAAATTTAAAGAAGAGCTTTGGTGATTAGCAATTAAAGAGTCTCAGTTTTTAATGTGTAGAAGTAAATATCACAAGGGGAGCACTGGGATATTGTCCTGCCTCTCTGAAAGTCAAAGAGCACCTTTTGAAGCTGGGCAAACAAATGAAGTACAGTAAGATGAAGACCATGAAATGTTTGCTGTAGGGTGTTTATGCATGACAAAGTCAAGTTTAATGGATATAATGTTCTTTATTGCTCAGTGACACCACTAACTTTTTTAAAACCAAAACAAATATGGCTTTAGAGAAAATTATGGGAATTTACAAGTTCAGTAGAAACTAAAATCTTGAGGTTGTAGACATGTTCACCGAGCCAGTGGGTTTGATTTGCAAACGTTTCGTCACCCCACTAGGTAACATCGTCAGTGCGCCTCCGGTGAAGCAGCAGTGTTCTATCCCACTTGTTAGTTATGTGCCTTGGTTTGCTGGGGTGTTTGGTATTACTTCAAACCACTGAGAAACAGAACCGGAAGTAATACCAACCATCCCAGGAAACAGGCATATAAATAACAAGCGGGACAAGAACACTGATGCTTCACCGGAGGTGCACTGACGATGTTACCTAGCAGGGTGACAAAATGTTTGCAACCAAACCCACCGGCTTCGCGAGCATGTCTACAACCTAATCCAAAACCCGAGCTACCAATCTTCACAAACTTTAAGATTTTTTGATTAAATTTATCATATTGACTGAATTGCTATGTATTTTCTGCCAAAAATGATTAGTTCTTCCTTGGACCATACCCTGTCCTGCACCACATTTGGTTCAAATCCATAAATTGTTGTTTCCTCAAGAACAGGCTAACAAGTAATGGCAAAAACATTATCTTCACCTTGACAATAAAAGAAATGGGTGCAGAAGAAACTGATTTCACTTTTAACTAAGTATGAGAACATGTCTGATAGTTTATTTGGATATCATTAGATGATGCATGGGGAGAAAGTGGAGCCTGATTCCATGAATCACAGTGCAAGACAGCAGCTGGGAATAAAAAATGTTACTTTGCGTAGACAAAGTGGGTTTTGAAAAGAAGCAAATAAATTAGATATATTGACCTGAAGTCTAAAATGGTTTGAAATTGCTCCCAATTTTTCTATCTAATTTGACCCATCAAAACCAGGCAGGGAGAGATTTAAATGCCAGGAGTTATTTACTGATCTTGAAACAAGCAGGATCTTGCCAGTCACTATTTAAATCTATAGTGGGTTGTTCACAAAGATAGCCACTCTAACATTGACATGTCATATTGATTTGGATGCTAGTAACATCATTAGAACATCAATTTTCTTGAAGGGTAGATGTAGAGAATAGAATTGTTAAGGGCCATTTGTTCAAAGAGAACAAAGCTGTTTTTTAAAAAAAAATACAGATCGATTAGTGATACTTTGTGTGCAGTAAGAGAATTGATTATCAGGGTTTAACAACAAATATTTGGAAAAACAACTCAGTCAAACTATATGGGGAAGATCCTCACTAACCAATTTCTTTGACTTTTAAATGGTTTGTTGGACGAGGATGCCCTACGATATGTATATAAACTTGGTGGAACTTTGTCAAATGTCTTCTCAAAGAGGTTTGTCATATATGTTTTTCAAAAATACAAGATAAACACAAGGCATGGATAAGAGGGTTGGTGCAGTGCACCCTTGCTAACCGTCTGTCTGTGGAGTTTATATATTCTCCCAGTGTCTGTATGGGTTTCCTCCAAATGCTAAGGTTTCCTCCCACAGTCTAAAGATGTGCAAGTTAGGTGGATTGGTCATGGGAAATGCAGGGATGGGGTGGGATGCTTTTCAGGGGGTTGATATGGATTTGATGGGCTGAATGGTCTGCTTCCGCGCTGTAGGGATTCTATGATAAATTAGCTGAAGAGTAGAAGTCAAGGTTTGTTTCAGTTATGATAGATATCAACTGGGATGCAACAATGGATTAATGCATTGTTAGTTAAATCAGTATGGATTGGGAATTCAAACCAGATCCTTGCATAGATTTTTAGAGGTCATAACTACCCACAACTCAATCCATTTTGTTCTGTCTGCCCATTGACCACATATGTAGTACATATCCACTGTCTTTTATAACTTGTGCTTTGATTTTTCAAAAGAAAATATCCAATATGTTCAACTCACTAAATCCCTGGACTCTTGGCTAGGTTTTATAGAGAAAGGCAGCTTTCTATCTTGATTTTATTGCTTTATTTTTATGTGCATTTAAACTGCATACCATTCTTACTTGTGTGGAAATTTGCTTCAGGGAGTATAGTGAACTGGGTTAAAGTAACCCCTGCAGTTCATTTTTGAAACAAATATTTCAATGTTTGTCAGTCAGAATTTTGTTTCTTCACCGTTGTTTTCCCCCTTGCCTGCAGGTGCAAAAGTACAGTTGTGTGTGGGTAATAATAGTCAGCTTGCTCCTTACTCATTTGACCACTCACAGTGGCTGTGTTCTTTGAAAATGGTTGGAAGATGCCTGAGCCGAACACAACTCTGTGTTCTGGCATTTGTGCGTTTAATAGAGACTGGAGATGCACCTGCACTAGTGACCAGTCTGAACAATCCTTGTCTTAATTTATAGTCCCAATTGTTTCATGTGCTCTTTAGGAAAAAAAGCTTGCTGATCCTCAAAAGAAAAGTTGGAAATTGAGGCAAGTAATATTGATGTGCTTAAAGGGGGGCTCGGTATGTAAACTGAGGCAGAAAGGAATGGAAGAATATGTTAACAATGAGTTGAAATAAGGTGGGAGGAGGTTTGTATGTAACATACGATCTATAGGTTTAAACTATATAAGGTTATTGGCACCTGATACCTTCTGAAAATCAGTACATGAATAATTACTGCACTTCTTTTGTATTTAATCTTCTGTTTTTTGAGAACTTGAATTAAGTTACTCAAATACAACTCGATCGTAAATTTATACCTGCAGTTGTCTTATGCTTTATTTAAGATGCACCCCAACTCTCAAAGTTTAGCTGCAAATGAAGCTGGACTATTTACCAATTTTGCTTTTTCCCTGGCTTTTTAAGCAAGGGTGTGTTGAGATTGTTGACTTGCTTGCCAAGCTGGATTGTTCTTGTTCAGACATTTCGTCACCATGCCAGGTGACATCATCAGTGTAGCCTCCAATGAAACGATGTTATTCTACCCCACTTGGAATTTATACTATCTGGTCTGTTATGGTGAGTAGTGTCATTTCTGGTTTTGATCTGTATGGGTTTGTATATGGGGTCTAATTCTATATGTTCGTTGATTTGCATTACGGATGGAGAACCATGCTTCTAGGAATCTCTGTGCGTGTCTGTTTGCCTTGGGCTACTATGGTTACCATGTCCCATTTAAACTGATGCCCTTCATTGCCTGAATGTACCGATATTGAGGAGAGTTTGTTGTACAGTTTTGCTGCTAGTTGAAGTTCACGTATTCTGATGGCTAGTTTCCTTCCTGTCTGTCCGATGTAATGTTTGTGGCAGTCATTACAGAAAAGCAACCCATTCTGATCAAACCCTCAATTTCCACAGCAACCACCCCAACATCCACAAACAAAGCTGCGTTAGGGCACTATTTAAACAGGCCAGAGCACACTGCAACACTCCGGAACTACACAGGAAACAGGAAGAACACCTATACAACGTCCTCAGTATAAACAGATATCCCTGCAACTTCATCCGCAGATGCTGACTAAACAGACAACAACAGGAGGACACGGTACACCCTAACACACCGGCCAGATTACCCTACATCAAGAACATATTGAAACTGACAACAAGATTCTTAAGACCACTAGGAATCATGGTGGCCCACAAGCCCACAGCCACTCTATGACAAACACTTACAAGGAATAAAGACCCCATTCCGACAACATGCAGAACCAACGTGGTTTACAAAATACCATGCAACGACTACCACAAATATTACATCGGATAGACAGGAGGGAAACTAGCCATCAGAATGTGTTTCATGAGAATTGTCCTTTGCACCTGAACACTCATTGTTACATTGAACTTCAACTAGCAGCAAAACGGCACAACGAACTCCCCTTAATATTGGTATACTCAGACAATGAAGGCCATCAGTTTAACTGGGACAAGGTAGCCATAGTAGCCCAAGCCAAACATAGACACGCACGGGAATGCCTAGAGGCATGGTTCTCCACCTGTAAAGCAATCAACGAACATGTAGAATTGGACTCCATGTACAAGCCCATACAGATCAAAACCGGAAATGACACTACCCACCATAGCAGACCAGACAGAATAAATTCCAAGCAGGGTAGAATAACATCTGAACGAGAACAAGCCAGCTTGGTGAGCAAGTCAACAGCCTCACCCACAAGCTGAGCTACAGATCTTTGCCAAAACTTTAAGGGTGTGCTATTTGCTATATTCCTTGTCTCAAGTTCAGGCCCCAAAGGCTTTTGGAAAATCATGCTTCATGCCACTGCTAGCTCCTTTACCAATCTTGACTAATATACTAATTTGCAGCTGGGCTTACGTAGTGCCTAACTTATCCCATTGACATCTTTACAATATTGACCTTGACATCCCATGGATTCATCCATTTTTTAAAAGTAATTTATGGGATACAAGTGTTGTTGGTTAGGCCAGCATTTATTGCCTATCCCGAACTGCCCTGAAGAAGAT